GTTTCCATGGGGATTACGTTTAACATTCTAAAGTTATAACAATCTAATTTGAATTCATACCAACTTAACTTCAATAACATACAAAGTCTCTGTTCCTATACAGCTTGATATCCCCCCTTCCTGTTATTGATATCACAGATTACATCTTCATTCACTGTGTGCCCAATAACTTAAATTAATAATTATTTTTTATACATTTGTGTTTAAATCACATAGAAAATAAAAAGTGGAGTTATAAACCACAATTACAATAATACTAGCTTTTATAATTGCCCATGTTTTTACCTTTACCAGAGATCTTTATTTCTTTATATGGCCTTAAGTTACTGCTTAGTGTCCTTTCATTTTAACCTGGACTCCCGTTAGCATTTCTTGCAGGGCAGATCTAGTGGTAACAAAGTCCCTCAGCTTTTCTTTATCTGGGAATTTCTTATTTCTCCCTCATTTTTGAAGGACAGTTTTGCTGTATATAGAATTATCAGCTGACAGTTTTTTTCTTTCAGCATTTTGACTATATCAATACACTGCCTTCTAGTCTCCAAGGTTTCTGATGAGAAGTCAGCTGCTAGTCTTATTGGGAATCCCTTGTATGTGACAAATCACTTCTCTCGCTGCTTGCAAGGTTCTCTCTCTGTCCTTGGCTCTTCATAGTTTGATTATAATGTGTCTTGATGTGGATTTCATTGAGTTTATCCTACTTGAAATTTGTTGAGCTTGTTAGACTTGTAGATTTATATCTTGCAAAAGATTTGGGAAATTTTTGGACATTATTTATTCAAATAATCTCTCTACCCCTTTCTCTCTCTTCCCTTTCTGAGACTCCCACAGTCTGTGTATTGGTCTGTTGATGGTATCCCACAGGTCTCATAGGCCCTGTTTATTTTTCTTCATTCATTTTTGTTTTCTTTCTTCTACTCAGCATGGATAATCTCATTTGACCTATCTTCAACTTCATTGATTCTTTCTTCTTCCTGATTAAAAACTGCTGTTGAGACCCTATAGTGAATTTTTTATTTCAGTTATTGTACTTTTAACTCCAAAATTTCTATTTGGTTCTTTTTTTAGAATTTCCGTCTCTCTATTGATATTCTCTATTTGATGAAATATCATTCCCATACTTTCCTTTGGTTATTTAGACATGATTTCCTTTGTTTTTTAAAAACATACTTAAAGTGGCTAATTTCAACTCTTTGTCTAGTAAGCCCAATGTCTGAAAGTCCTCAGGGACATTTTCTGTTGACTATTTTTTTCCCTGTGTATGGGCATATTTTCTTGTTTCTTTGGATGTCTCATAAATTTTTTGTTGGAAACATGGTATTTTAAATAATGTGACAACTCTGAAAAAAAGATTTTCTTGCCTCTTCAAGGTTTGTTTTTACTGGTCATTGTTGTCATTTGTTTGCTTGGAGACTTTTCTGAACTAATTCAGTAAAGTCTGTATTCTCTGTTGTGGTGGTCACTGATGTCTCTGCTCAGTTATCTCAGTGGTCAGCTAATGGTTAGACAGAGATTTCCTTAAATACCTAGAACCAATAAGTTTCCCAGTTTTTGCCAAGGGGATCTGTGTATGTGTTGAGGCATCCTTTTAACACTTGCCAGGCAGTTGACAACTCTGCCTTAGCCTTCAAAGCTGGCTTGAGCAACACCTTAACACTAGCTAGATGTGAGAGCTCAGGGCCTTCTCAGGTCTTTTCTGAGCATATGGACAGCCTTAGGCATGTGCACAGCCCTATGCATTCATGTGGCCTTCTAGATTTTCAGGAACATTTTGGAGCTTTTCAAAGCCCCTATAGATATCTAATTCCTGAGCTTTTGCTTTCAAGCTTTCTGATGAGCTTAGTGTTTTCCTCAATACTGCCCACCTCAGTCAGTTGGAGTGTTAAACAATTGCCTATGCTTGTTTTCAACTATTGCTCATGGGAAAGGGATGTTTGCACTGGGTGAACTCTGAATCAAGTCAAATAAAGGCAGCCTTGAGAGTAGAGTCTTCCAGGGATTCACTAGATAGTTCAAATAATGACAAGTTTCTGAGAATGGGGCCTTGATGGAGCTTTAACACTTTTATGCTCCTTCCAATGGCTGCCAGGCTGCTGGTTTTCACTATGATGGCAGTCTGTTGATTTTTAAAGCTACCACAGAGCTGAGAAGAAGGAAATGAGAATAAAGCAAGTGAAAATGCCATAGACATCATTGTTTTCTACTGAAATTTGGCTGTTTTTCTTGAACAGACTCCCTGTATTGCTGCAAGCTTTTGGTTACTTTCCAGAGTTCTGAAATCATTAATTCTGACAATTTTTCCAGTGTTCACTGGAGAAGAGGATTTTCAGTGTTTCTTACTCTGCCTTACTTCTGGATATCTGGTTTCTGACTCTTGATCAATTTATGATGTGCAATTAAGGTCTGAAATTCTCCCTGGAGGTCACTAGGTTTAGTTTCTTTACTGATGGTTTGCAACTGGATTTATGGGTCTGACAAAATTGCCTTGATTATTTAAAGGACCTCTCTAAGAGCTTCTCCTTTGAGCTTTTTGTAAACAAGATTCCTCTTACAGACCCTGGTGGTTCAAGCTGATGACGCAGTGTGGTCTGTTTAGGCAAATAAGGGCCCTTGGGGAGCTTGCACATGGGCGCTCTCTCTGACCTCCAGTGCTTGCCTGTATTCTCTTTCTCTTACTGAACCATATCTTTTGCTTTTAAATAAAAGCCTGTGTGAAGATACTCTGTGGAGTCTGGTGAATCCTTTCAAGTAACCGAACTGGGAAAATCTTTGCAATGGTATCTGCATACAATATAATACTATGCCGCAGAAGTATAATACTATAATACAGCTGTGGAAAAGAATGTGAAAGATATCTGTGGACTAATATGGAAAGACATCCAGGATATAGTGGTAAATGAAAATGCTAGATGCAGAATTGCATATTTAGTATATTATTTTTTATGTAAGAAAGGGGAGAAATACAAGGGTATATAATTGTATTTGTTTGATTTGCATAAGGAAACACTGAAAAAATACACAAAAAAACTATTAAAAATTCTTAACTATGGAAGTGGTGGGGGCAAGACATCTCAACATATAAATTTTCATATTGTTTCTATTTTTGAACCTTATGAATATATTACTCATTCAAAAAATTTAAATTTTCAAAATAAATGAAGCAAAAAAGAAAAGAAAACTTAGATCATGTGGCCAAGGGGGATAATAAAGTATAATAGAGTTTCACAATAAGTACCAAGAAATAAAGATGGACATGAACTGATGCTCAGCATCACTAATTATTAGGGAAATGCAAATCAAACCACAATTAAATACTCGTATCCACATACGTCACTTTTCAGTAGAGTTTCTTATATAAAATTGAGGAGAGGGAAACCTCTGACACGAATTTGAAGTAGTTCTGTTACTCCATTTTACTTTTTCTTGCCTTAGGAGTCTGGAATCCTTCAAAGAATTGTCCAGAGGGTGGTAAGACCAATGATTGACTAGCTTCATATCTGTGACAATCCCCATCTAACAGTGACCTAAATCCAGAGGCCCCTGCCTGCTTAGCAGCTTACAATTCTGGCAGCCTGACTTGTGGTAGGTTATACAGAGAGCAATAGAAAGAGCTTCTGGAACTCCCTCAGCTTACATGGGTCAGAATGGCTATAATAACTAAAACAAAGAACAACAAATGTTGAAGAGGCTCTGGAGAAAAGGGAGCACTCATACACTACTGGTGGGAATGCAAATTGGTGCAGCCACTATGGAAAACAGTATGGAAATTTCTCAAAAGATTTAAAAATAGAACTACCATATGATCCAGCTTCCCCACTACTGGGTATGTATCCAAAGAACTTGAAATCAATGATCCAAAGAGATTTATGCACCCCTATGTTCATTGCAGCATTATTCACAGTAGCTGAGACGTGGAAGCAGCTCAAGTGCCCATCAACTGACAAATGAATAAAAAAGATGTGGTATATGTATACAATGGAATACTACTCAGCCATAAAAAAGACAAAATTATCCCATTTGCAACAACATGGATGGACCTTGAGAGTATGATGTTAAGCAAAATAAGCCAGACAAAGACAAACACTGCATGATTTCACTCATGTGGAAGACAAAAAATACATGGATAAAGAGAAGAGATTAGTGGTTACCAGAGGGGAGGGCAGTTGGAGGGTGTGCAAAAGGGACAGAGGAGCACATATGTATAGTGATGGATAAAAATTAGACTACTGGGGGTGAGCGCGATGAAGTGTATTCAGGAACTGATAAACAATAATGTACACCCAAAATTACACAATGTTATAAACCATTATAATCCCAATAAAATTACTTAAAAAAAAGGGAAAAAAAATAGGCATGCCAAAGCATAAACATAAGCAACAAAAGTAAATAGTGACACAAGATACAAAGGTGAAATTTCATCTGGGTAGCATATAAAAGGCTTGGATTATTGTTTTAGCTTAGGATATCTGAACAGCAGAGATTTTGGGTGGAATAGTTCTTTTCGTGAGGGGCTGTCCTGTACATTGTAGGATATTCAGCAGTATCCCTGGCCTCTACCAACTAGAAACCAGTAGCAGCCCCTGCAAAGCTGTCACAAACAAAAATGTCTCCAAACATTGTCAAATAGGGGAGGGGGCACCAAAAGCACCCCCAGTTGAGAATCACTGCTTTTGCTGATCTGAATGGCAACTAGATCTTCTGAGCAGCTCAGTAAAAAAGTTTCTTTCTGGGGCCGGCCCCAGGATGGAGTGGTTAAGGTCGAGCTCTGCTTTCACGGCCCAGGATTTCGCTGGTTCGGATCCTGGGCACGGACATGGCACCGCTCATCAGGCCATGCTGAGGTGGCATCCCACGCAGCCCAACCAGAAGGATCTACAAATAGAATATACAACTATGGGGGGTGGGGGGGAGATTGGCAACAGATGTTAGCTCAGGGCCAGTCTTTAAAAAAAAAAAAAAGAAAAACATTTTTAAAAAGTTTATTTCTAATTTTCTAGTGAATGTTTTCCTGATGACTGATCTATGTCCCAGAATGACTCTTTCAGTGAGATGTCAAACATTTCACATAATAGTATTTTCCAGTTTATTTATTATTAACGTAAGCATGACTAAACTGATATACTATTTTGCAACTTCTTTTGAGTGACATTAATGACTTGGAAATATTTTCCCTTTTAATAAAATATTTAATTGCTGAATCATTTGGTGTGATTTTATTACTTTGAAACTCTTTGTATGGTAGCCAACCTCTATTTCTTTAATGAAATTAGAGAAATGGAATTAAATACTCATGTCCACATACACTTTTCAGTGGAATTTCTTATATAAAATTGAGGAGAGGGAAACCTCTAACATGAATTTGAAGTAGTTCTGTTACTCCTTTGATTTTATTTTTTCTTGCCTTAGGAGTCTGGAATCCTTCAAAGAATTGTCCAGGGGCTGGTAAGACCAATGATTGATTAGCTTCTTATCTGTGACAATCCCCATCTAACCGTGACCTAAACCCAGAGACCCCTGCCAGCTCAGCAGCTCACAGTTCTGGCAGCCTGACTTGTGGTAGGTTATGCGGAGAGCAATAGAAAGAGCTTCTCCTCCCTCAGCTCTACTCAGGATCTTCTGGGAGTGATGCATGTGGCCATAATTATATTTAAACGTGACTGTTCTGTTTCTGAAGAAAGCAAATCAAACCTGTAATCAGGAAACTGGTCCGCAGATTACAGCACAACCACGTGCGTGAGCCTGGAAGACAAGTCTCCTTGCTCTTCTCTGAGGGTTTTTTTTGTTGTTGTTAATGTGATTAATTTCAGTTCAAGGAGCAGGGAACATCACATTTTCCAGGAGAATCATCTTGGTTTACCCCGTCTCTCAACTCAGGTGGAAGGGTTTCCTCAATCGGAAGGGAGATACAGTTCAAAGCAGGAAAGCGAAGACCGTTTTATGACTCCGACGGAAAAACTCTCTTCGTTCTGAAAAAACCGAAGGCGTCTAAAGACAGGATACGCTCAAATAAATCTTCAGCCAGCAACAGGATCTGTAACCAACCTGTCCTGCCTCTTCCCCAGCGCCCGCTGAGTGCTTGCAACCCTGTTCCCAGTTCACCCAGCGGGCGCGTGCGGAGTCGGCCCTCGGCTCGCGGGCGGGGGAAGGCTCCCAGGGCGCCCGCTAAATAGCAAACAGATGCCGGACACGCCGGAGATCTCACGGACCAGGGCACCGCCGCGGAGACGAGTTCCAGCCCGGAGGCTTCCAAGGGAAAAGGCTGGCGGCCGCCAGACTGTCTTAGTCTCTTTGCTTGAAACGGGCTAGTTTTGAAAGCAGGGCGACCTTTTTCCCCGGGCAGGGGTGCAGAGAGGCAGATCCGGCTCCAGGACTGGAAACCGCATCCCAGCTGCCGAGGAGCTAAGTGGCGGCTTCCCGCCTGGCCCCTTCCCGAGGTAAAGCGGCCGTTTCCTTTCCTGCACCGGGGAGACCCAGACGCCACGCTCCCTGGCTTTATGTCGCCCCCTCCTCGAGCCCCACTTCCCAATCTCTGAAAGGCTCCAGGACTCGCGACCTTGTTTCCCTCCTCGCGCTTGCTGCCTGGGTCGCGTGAGTCCCGAGCTTCTTCGGGAATTTAAGGCCAAAGGTTTGGCTCTGAAAGTTAGTTTTGACTGCGCCGCTGTCCCTCCCAGGGTCATTTCAGAACGCGCCCCCAAAAGTCCTGGTGCTTAAGCCCCCACCGCACCCCCTAAAGCACGAATCCCCGGGGTGGTGGCCAGCAGGTGTGCTGCCGGCAGCTCATCACGGCAGTCGAGGAGCTGAGGATGCTCTGTACCTGCCTCTTTTCCGACAACACTTGAAACCGCCCCGGGGCACACCCAACACATCCCATGAATCCAAATATCCCTGACACAGGTGTCCGAATTCGAGTTTGGTCCGACCCTCCCCTCCCCGCGGCGACGCGGGGAGCCTCTTCTGCAAGGTCTTTTCCTTCGGACCCGAAGGGGCGCGCGCTTCGGTGCGCTGGGTCCACCTCTTCCCTAGGCTCGGGCGGGGGCGGGGGTGGGTAGGCAGGGACCTGGATCTGATTAGCTGGGAGGGGGAAAGCCGTGGGCCCAACTGCTCTCTCCTGTCTGCCGGGTTCCTCGAGGAGGAGGAGGAGGGACGGTACAAAAGAGGAGGGGCAGGGGTCCCATGCCTGAGCGCCCGGGCCTGTGGTTTGAACCGCCGCCGCCGTCACCGGGCTCTCACCTCGCCCCCGCCCCAGGCCCCAGCCATGGGGCCCCCTTCCAGCTCCGGCTTCTACGTGAGCCGCGCCGTAGCCGTGCTGCTGGCCGGGCTGGCTGCCGCGCTCCTGCTGGCGCTGGCGGTGCTGGCAGCCCTGTACGGCCAGTGCGCGCGCGACCCGTCGTCGGAGATGCAGCACCGCGGGGGCCCGGGCGCCGCGCCGGTCCCGCCCCGCAAGCAGAAGGAGCAGCCGCCGACCCCGAAACCTGGCCCCGCTCGTAAGCCGGCGGTGGCGGCCACCCCAAGCGACTGGCGGCCCCCAGGACCCTGGGATCAGCTGCGCCTGCCTCCCTGGCTCGTGCCGCTGCACTATGAGCTGGAGCTGTGGCCCCGGCTGCAACCAGACCAGCTCTCGGCGCCCGCATTGCGTTTCACTGGCCGCGTGAACATCACGGTGCGCTGCATCGTGTCCACCGCGCGGCTGCTGCTGCACAGCCTCCTCCTGGACTGTGACAGCGCCGAGGTGCGAGGTCCTCTGTCCCCAGTCACTGGGGACGCCACCATAGGCCGCGTGCCCGTGAACGACGTGTGGTTCGCGTTGGACATGGAGTACATGGTGCTGGAGCTCGGCGAGGCCCTGCAGCCCGGGAGCCGCTACAAGCTGCAGCTCAGCTTCTCTGGCCCAGTGTACCAGGACACCTGGGAGGGGCTCTTCCTCAATCTCTACACAGACCAGGGTGAGCGCAGGTAAGGGCAGGTTGTGCGGGCCTCCTCAGCCCCCGCGCGGGCTGCGGGTCCACCTGCTTACATGCGTCCAGGTGCGCATCTCCCGCCTTTCCCAAACAGCCTCCAGCCCATCCCTCGCGACGTTTTCTTCCAAAGCCAGAGGGCGAGCGCCTCCTTCCTCTTCTTCCGTCCAGAGATTCTGCTTGGAAGAAAGGCTTCGAGACCATAGTCCTTCCTCTGGCCAGTTTTCAGCCCCATCTCTGCCCATCCAGTTTGTTTCTATAGTTGCCCCTTTTAAGGTCACTCTAAGTTTATCGTCCTTTTCAGAAAGCCCCTGTCTTCTCTAACCTGGAGTTTCTTCACCGCAGTGAACAAATCCCTTGCTACTCAAAGTTTGGTCCGCGGACCAGCAATAGCTGCAATATCTGGGAGCTTGTTACAAATGCAGACTCTTAGGCCCCACTCTCGACCAAGGGAATTAGAATATGCGTCTTATCGAGATCCTCCGGTGATTCACGGGCGTTAAAGTCGGAGCAGCGCCGGCCTATAGCACCCTTGCCCGCTCTGTTTTTCCCTCCTGGAGCGACCCTCAGCGCTCAGCTCTCACCTCTTTCCTCTGGGCTCTGTAATTGCTGCTCTTGCAACAAATAGACTCTCGTTGGGGCTGTTTGTTCTTATACTTTCTTCTTTTTGCTAAGGTTTTCCAAAACTTCAGAATCCCCTTTAATTCATCCTCCTCTCCCACCCCCTGCCTGGGTCCCGCGTCTCTTTTTGCTGGCGAGCAGAGGCATTCCCTTCCCCTCCTGGCTCTTTGAACAGCTCTGCCGAAAAAGTCGGGGGGCGGCGCTTTCAGGATTCCTCCTTTGGGAAAAAAAATAAAAGCGATGACAAGAGACCCCCGCCTCTGAGTTTGCAAGCTCACGTAGCGTACATGTGTTCTCTTTACATTCTTTTGAGATAATGTCTCCCACGTGGAGTGTTTCCAGCTTAAAAATTGCCTCTTTCCACGCTCTGTGATCACATTACTGACCTCGGGCGAGCGCCAGGGAAATGGTTTATGTAGAAGATAACTCTCTTTTCAAACTGGCGATCTCCACTCACGCACTGGTGGAGCATTTGCGGTTTACACAACTGCATGTACTTTGCCCTTTATTATTAGAGAAAATGTTCTCAGATGTTCTCTGAGGGGGGAAAAACACTAAATTACCCACTAAATCATCTCCTTCATTATTTTCAAAACTTCAGGGGGTTTTAAATAAGTTTAATAAACTTCCTTAGTGGATGTGTAATCTGTAACTTTTGTTTTTAAGGACAGTGTGTCTGGTTTTTCTCTTTCAAAAATGCATCAATGCTTGAAAAATAGTTTCGAGAAGTTTCTCATTAGGATGGTGTGTTACTGGATTTATAGGCACTGGAAACATTTTGAAATACTGTGTAGAGTTCAGGGCGCAAGATTTTGGGGAGGAAAAAGAAGACCACTCTCCTTGCACAAATATGGGGTGGTGTATTCTGCTATCAGTCAGTAAATCTTCATCTGCTCACCCTCTTGCTTCTTCCTGTCTTGATGGGGCTGTGGCCCAGACAAACTGCCCCAGCAAACATGGGAAAGCAAAGTCTCTTTCCAGTTTTCTATTGTGCTGGTGATTCTAGAGGTGACTAGAAACCAGCTTTGGAGAACATTAAAACTCAAACAAGCAGAAATCTTAATAAGTCCTGCAGGTGTTGACAGACCAAGGCAGAGCTCCAGAATCGTGGTATCTTAGAGGAGCAGTTGCCTCTAAGTTGTCTTCTAGGTCTCTGCTTCTGAAACCACGAGGAAAAGGAGTCTGCCGCTGCGTTTGAAGCCAGGATCACAAAGAACCTGGTCAAAATGACAACTTGTAGAGGAGCAGATTTTAGAAGCCCCGTAGGCCTGAGTTGGAACCTGAGCCATGTGACTTGAGTCAGTCTCTTCACCTCTCTGAGTTTGTTGTCTCATTCATGAAATAGTCATAGTAAGTGCCAGCCTGTACAGTGTTGTGAGAATTAACCCAGACAGAGGGGACGGTGACTGGTACACAACCTGTGGTACTATCATTAGCTCGGGGTATAATGGTTCGGAGCAGCCTCCTGTTATCTAAATATGGAACCTGCAACATTCCTGGAAGATATGAGTCTAAGAAGATTCCCAGATGGGAAGAAAGGGCCTATTGATTTCACGTTTTTCTCGGGGTGTTTAATACCAGCTGCAAAGGTTGGAACATGTTTAGCTCTCTTCTTTGGTGACCCCTTGTCAGAGTCTGGACAGGCTAATGTTTTTAAATAATTTTACTCAACACTAAGGGAAAAGAAAAAGAAAATCATTCCAGAAAATACAAAGAGCATCAGTGTCTCACATTTCTAAGGTTTAGGTTATGATTTTCTAGCTTCAGAACTTGTTTGGGATGCTTCCCACCTACGCTTGGCCTTTCTCTGCTTAGCACGTGCCATCACCTTCTGCCATATAGAAGCCATCTATGGATGCCTTGGACATGTGCTTCTGTGTGTCAGTGTCTGGCTCCCTCGTTTCATGTGTAGAAAGTTGAGAGCAAGATCCAAATGTTAATGTCCCTCAGAGCAGTGTGTTCTTCATTCCTTGGCATATCACTGTTTCAGGGTTTGCCATATTCACCTATCTCCAGCCATGTTATTTGCTAAAAAAAAGTTACTTGATTTAAACAAAAATATTAAGTAGATTTATTGAAAAGCAGCTCTATCCCATTGTCATAAATGGAAAACCACTTGCAATTTATAGAAAGTAATGGCACTAATTTGATAAAACAAAACAATGTTATTAAGTTCTATCTATATTACTGCCTGCTAAAGGATCTAAAGACTGAATCTGAAGGCTGCTGTCTCTCTGTTAAAAAGAGAAGGTAGAATTAGGTATTCAAGATAACACTGAACTAAGACTTTCTCTTGACCTAATCAGAATGGCTCATAAAATTGGAAAAGGACTGACTTTCTCATGTGTGAGTCAGATCTATATAACAGTGTGTCTGAGGGCGACCAAAAATCTTTCTCCAGCTATACTTTGGAAAATCCTAAATTAGAGTAGTGGTTCACAAACTTTAATGTGCATCAGAATCACCAGAGGAGCATATTAAATATGCAGATTCCTGGGGCACACCCTCAGAAATTCCAGATCAAAACCCTCATGTTCATACCAACATTATTCATCATAAGATAGAAGCAACCCCAGTGTCCATCGATGGATAAACGGATAAACAAATGTGGTATATACATACATTGGAAGATTATTCAGCCTTAAAGAGGAAAGAATTCTGACATATGCTGCTGTATGGATGAATCTTGAGGACTTTATGTAAGGAACCCAGACTAGCCAAATTCATAGGGACAGAGAGTAAACTGATGATTGCTAGGGGCTGAGGGAGTGGGGAGTTTTAGTTTTTCAAGAAGAAATGAGTTCTGGAGATTGGTTGCACAACAGTGTGAATGTACTTAACAGTACTCAACAGTACACGGTTAAGATGGCAAATTTTATGTGTATTTTACCACAATTAAAAATGTAAAAAGAACAGAAAATTTTTAGATCATTGAGTTTTGAGTGGGGTTTGGAAGTTTATATATTTTTAACAGTTGCTTCAGATAATTCTGGTGCCCACAATCAGTGCCCCATTTATTTTTCTATTATTTTGAAATCATTACAGATTCACATAAAGTTGCAAAGATAGTACAGAGAGGTCCCATGTACCCTTCATCCAGTTTCCCAAAATGATTATATCTTACATGATTATAGTACAATATTAAAACCAGGAATTTGACACTGATACTATGTGTGTATATTGTTCTATGTCATTTATTACATGGGTAGATTTGTGTAACCACTACTACTATCAAGATACAGAACTGTTCCATCACCTCAAAGGTCATCTTCATACTTTCCCTTTATACTCATACCACCTCTCCCCCCACCATCCCAAACCCCTGGCAACCACTAACCTGTTCACCATCTCTGTAATTTTGTCATTTTGAGAATGTTATGTAAATGGCATCATATAGTATGTGACCTCTGGAGACTGGTTATTCTCACTCAGGATAATGGCCTTGGGATCCATCCAAGTAGCATGTATCAATAGTTTGACCTTTTTAATTGCTGAGTAGTATTCCATGGTACAGATGTGGAGTTTGTTTAGCTGTTCACCTATTGAGGGACATTTTGGTTGTTTCCAGTTTTGGGCTGTTACAAATCAAGCTTCTGCTAGCAATTATGTATAGATTTTTGTGTGAATGTGAGTTTTTATTTTTCTAGGATAAATCCCCAGGAGTACAATTGCTGGGTGGTATGGTAGTTGCATGTTTAGTTTTTAAGAAATTGCCAAACTGTGTCCCAAAGTGTCTGCACCATTTTCCATTCCCACTAACAATGTACGAGTGAGAGAGTTTCTCTGCACTGTGGACACCATTTGGTATTGTCACTGTTTTTCCTGTTAGCCGTCTGATAGGTGTTTAGTGATTTCTCATTGTGGTTTTAATTTGCATTTCTCTAGTGGCTAATGATGTTGAACATGTTTTCATGCTTATTTGCCATCTGTCTATCAGTTTCAATGAAATGTCTCTTTGTGTCCTGCCCATTTTCTAATTGAATTGTTTGTTATTTTCCTGTTGAGTTCTGGGAGTTCTTTATATATTCTAGATCTAAGTTCATTGTGAAATACATGGCTGACAGATGTGTTCTCCCAGTCTGTAGCTTGTCTTTTCATCTTCTTAATAAGGTCTTTCAGAGAGCAAAAGTTTTTAATTTTAATAAAGTCCTATTTATCAATTTTTTTATAGATCATGCTTTTGGTATCATTTCTAAGAATAATTTTTTAAGGCTTTATTTTTTTAAGAGCAGTTTGGGGTTTACAACAAAATTGAGAGGGAGATACAGAGAGTCCTTGTACACCCCCTGTCCCGACACATGCATAGCCTCCCCCATTATAAAGATCACTCATCATAATGGAACTTTTTTTTCTTTTTTTTTTTTACCAAGGATGAAC